TAGTGGTCCGAGTTCAGATAGAATCATAGATCTTCTATACTCCGGCCCAGAGATCAGTACCGCTATTCGACCAAAACTCGTCCGATTTCGCGCATTTCCCACTCAACCAACCACAGCGTTTCGGTGACTGTCGGTGTCGGTCGGCAATTGCGACATTCCAGCACATAGTGAGGAAAATTGGGCTCGGCACCCGTCACTGCCGGTCATTCTGCATGCACGTGACGGTACTGATCTTTCGTGGGCCAGAGTATACTAATAGACGGAACGTGGTTGTAGTTCCAGCGTCCAAGCGTGACGACGCTGATCATGGTAGTACACCCTACATGCGCACAAGACCTATCGGATTGTATAATAATTTTTAATTTTACTTGCGCAGTTGCCAGTTGCGCCTACGACTTACCAACACACCGCGTACTATCAAAAGTATAAATTTATCAATTCAATGATATTATAGAATATAATATACTTACCTATTAATTATACAAATATATTTTTTTTACCTTTTAGGCACTATTCACTCTATAGGTAACGATCACGCAACAGTCACAGTCAAGTCAAATATTATTTAACTAATTTGAAATTGGTATGTCTACATTACCGATAACTCTCACGTCATGGTCAAATCGCAATCAGTTATTTCGCGATCAATTATTATCAAATATTTTATAGGAGCGATACCTGCCCTTTCCTAGGATAAATTATCAGTGTGAATTAGAAACGCGCACGTGCCAGTCGACTTGCAGTGTTTTTATTTTTGTGATATTTGTCATTTTGTAGTACCATGAATAAAAAACCAAAGTTACTGGCTGGGATTTTGATAAAAGTACGTAATTCATAATAGATTACATTATTTTATTATTTATTATACATTATACATTATATTTAATATTATGACTTATAATCAATAAAATAAAAAAACAAGTAATATAAGTAATATAATATACTATTGGTATACCATAGAACATAGGTACCTAATACAATTTTTATGATATCGTTTTCAATTATATCATACATGCATTTGGTTGTTATTATGAACAATATTAATTTAAAAAAGACAATATGACATTATGTACTTAATACCTATATGAATAAAATATTTATTATAAACCTAAGAATATGAAACTATTTTAAATATTATATATCGTATTGTAAAATATGCAGGTGAACAGTTGATTGAGCTACCAAGGAATAGGCCAAAATTGTATGATTTAAAATGTCCCCGATATAGTGACAATATTTGTAAACGAAATGCTTGGAATGAAATTGGATCACAATTGAATGTACAAGGTAATGTAAATATAAACTTAAATAATAATAAAGTAACAATTACATTTTAAATAACTAAATTACAATATATTGTTAATTTGAATAATATAATGGTGATATAATGGTGATATAATTATTTATATTTTATTCATTTGCCATGGCACGGCCCCAGCTGGTGAATTAAAAAAACGTTTAAAATTATTTCTTACTATAAATGCTTCTGTTTGAGCATTTCCTCTGTGTTTTTTTAAGTTCATGATTCAATTTTCATTTGAAGATTCATTAAATGTTTCATCAAGATCAAAATTAGCTTTATGTTTTCGTATAATATTATAAAGTATACATGTGGTTAAAATGTTACTAGTAGCATTGTTGAGGTCCGATTTCAGTCTTCTTGTATAAAACCTAAAAGTTTGAGTAAGGATTCCAAAGGCACACTCAACTAACCTTCTGGCACTCGATAACCTATAGTTAAATATCCTTTTTTCAATATCATGTGTCTGTGTTCCTGGAAAAGGTCTCATCAAATTTTTTGTTAGTGGAAACGCTTCGTCCCCGACAATTACATATGAAGCTACAATATCTCCCAAAAAATCCACTATCGCTGTTTTTACCGTATGACCCAACGTCCACGGAAATAAAACGATAGTTAGCATCTACAAGAGCTATTAAAAGTATCGAAAATGTCTTTTTGTAATTAAAGTATAAAGACCCACTCTCAGCAGGGGACTCGATCACTACGTGTTTGCCGTCTAGTGCCCCGAGTCAATTTGGAAAATTCCACATTGTCCAAAAATCGTTTGCAATTTTTTTCCAGTCACATTGATTTGGTGTTGGAATACATTC